GAGGACACGCATCCACAGTAAAGGGCCTAAGGCCTGGAACACAGTTGGCTCCTGTAGGAAGGTTCTAGAAGGTGCCATCAGGCCTGGGGCAAAGAATGTGAGATCACCAAGCAACTGACTATTCAGTGTGTGGCTGCAGCCCAGGGCTTGCAGTTCTCTCAATGCCGTGGGGCCACTAACCTCGCAGCAGGGAGAAGAGAAAGCCAAGATCATAGCCCAAAGGCACCAGGAAAGAAGCCCTCGCCTCCCCCTGGCTCCCTCTGCTGGCAAACCCTCATCCTGGGTTCACAGTTAAGTGCCTGGGGCACATTCTCCCAGAGCAGGTGCAACAAGGGAAAGTGGAGCTGGGAGGCAGTCCACTGATAACCGCAGGAGCCACGGCCAGGCTTGAAGACAGGCACTGGCCTCTGTCTTTCGTGAAGAGTTCCATAGGAGGTAGTCTAGGGTTTGTGGGCTATGAGCTCTGAAAATTGGCTTGAGGAGGCCAACTGTCATTACACAGAAGAAGTGCAGCAGATGTGAGGGGGTGACAAAAGGATTGAAACATCAAGGAATTAAAATGTAAGTTTATTTTGTTGCAAAAAAAAAAAGAACATTCACATGTTTTTTTTGTTTTTAATTTAAAGATTTGTTGTGTTTATCTGAGGGCAGAGAGAGCGCGTGAGCTTCCAGAGAAGGTAAAGAAACCTTCCCTTCATCACACTGCCTGGCAGATGTGGAATCTGATGACCAAGCTGCCGGACTCCCTGGCCTGCATTCCACACCATTATGTGCACAGCCTGGCGCACACAGGCAGATGTTCTCATCTGAGCTGCTGTCTGGGCTGCGTGTCGCAGGGAAATCATACTGAGTGCCCTGATCGAAGGCAGGTCAGGACACCCAACCAGAGGGAAATCCTCACGACCCTGTGGCAAAGCCTTCTCCTAAAATGTCCCAGACACTTGGAGTTGAGAGCTGAGGGCTCTGACCACTCGGTGGCACCTGGCCGATCGCTAGGCCAGCTCTGGCTGGAGTGGCTGGCTAGGTTAGGGTCCTGTTTTCAGGCCCTCTTCTCATGCTCCCTCCTTTCACCTTGGCAGATGGTGAAACATTCCCCAATCAAGGATAGGACATTTGCTTGGCAATCTCTTAAGACTTTACAAATGTGACAGATGTTCCCTGGGGGAGTCTGATCACATATGCAAGATCAGGTTTAACAAAATAAACGCTAACATTCTTATCCCTGCATTTGGCACTATGTTGGTCTAATTTCCTTACAATCTTTCCAATTCTGACAGCAACCTGGGAAGTTAGGTCCCTGATGAAAAAACAGGAGTACTAAAGGACAAAGATAAATTGTTTCACTAAAGTGATTACTCTGTCAAGGAGACTGTTAGATGGGATTCTTTGGGAAGGTGGGGACCGCAAAGATCGGCAAGGTGGACATAACGCTCGCTCGTCTCTGAATCCACCTCCTCGTGTACGTTCAGCGTGCTACGGAAATACAACGTACGGGATTCACCGCAACATTAGAAGGAGCTAGGGCCAAATCCCAGTCATGTGACAGAAAACTTTAAAAAATTATTTTATTTGTTTGTTTGAAGGGCTTTTGAGAGAGAGAGAGAGAAGGAGAGAGAGAATCTTCCATCCTATTTTATATTTGCCTAACAGTCAACAGTGACCAGTACTGGACCAGAGAGAATCCAAGAGCTCAGGCCTCCATCTGGGTCTCCTGCGTGGTGAAGCAGCAAACACAGCACTTGAGGTATCTTCTGCCCTTTCCCAGACACATTAACTGGGGACTGGATCAGAAGTAGAGCAGTAGGGACTTGAACCAGTGTTCATACGGGATGCCGGTGTTGTAGCTGGCAGGTCCACCTGCTGTGCCGCAATGCTGGTCCCCAGGGACCCCTTTTCTTTGATGAGATTGAGTGCTCATAACAGTTCCGTGTGTCATGTGAAGGAGTTTGTAAAGCAACCATCCCCAGGTGACAGCAGTGCTGTCTGCCTCCAAGTCAGGGTTAGGAAGGTGATGCGTCCCTCTGCAGCAAAGGTTGAGCAGGTTTGCCAGGCACTCCCATTTAAAGTCAGGCCTCCACCAAGCTTGGAGCTGTTCCGCTGTGACATAAATGCAGCAACTTCTCCATGACCCATGGGACTAACGAAGCAAGGAGAGATGACAAAAACACAACCCTCCTGTGTGCTGTACCACAAACGGCAAAGTCTTGTTTCTGACCCCGGAATCTGGTGTCTCCCACCAGCACCAGTGAAGCTGTGGCTGGCTGACTTATGACCCTTCGTAGTTCTTAGCACTGTCACCCAATGACACACACTTTCTTCCCTCCCATTGCACTTTAATCTCCTGCCCTTGGGCTCCCAGCACAGCGTGAAGATGTTTTGGCCAAGCCATTGCCAATCACAGGTAACTGCCCTTTGGAGAGTGTGCTTGACCCCCCAGACAAACTCCTCCCAGACTTCTACACCCCTTGACACCAGGGGCACACTCTCCTTTCAAAGCGTTCTGCTGGGCCCGGGAGCCCTCTCCTGCGCCTCCCTCATCTGGTCCCTGCCCTGGCTCCTTTCCACTTAGCAGTTCCTCGGATGTCTTGCTAGTCCTTGTGGCGCTCCACCTGCCTTCCCTGGCTGATCTCACTTGCACTGTGGGTGTCAGGAACCTTGTCATATAGTGAGGATGACACCCCAAATTCCAGCTCTGCTCCAGGCTCCTGAGTGAAGTTCTGCAGCCTGGTGGTGGTGAGCAGCTTCACCTCCAGCTTCAGTGCTCCAAGTAGAAGCCTGGCCCATCATCAATATCAGCTCATCCCTTCTAACCTGTATCCACTCTCCTTGAGATGCTCACAGCCACTCCATCGCTCCAGGAGCCATCCTTGTCCCCCTGCTGTATTCCACACCGCAGAGCCACTCTATCATTGAGTGTTGTCTTTTGAACTATTTCTAGCATCCATTCCCCATCCTCTTCCGATTCACTCCTGCTGCTGCTGGACCCCTCTGGATCAGATCCTTCCTGCCTCAGACTATTGCCGTGTCCTGCTAACGGTACTTCCTGGCTTCTCTTGGCCCTTGTAAAGCCTTTCCATCTCTGTTCCTTAAATATAAGCCAAATCAAGCCACTTCCCTGCCTAGCTCAGTATGTCCAACGTTATCCAGCAACACAACCCGCCATGCTTTCTGACTCTATGTCTCACTCCTTCTCTTCTTCAAGTATTTCTCCCATTGGTCGCCCAGAGCCGCTATCATTCAGAGTGGAAAGCAGGTAGGGAGGAGGTGTCTAAAACTCAAGCAGAAACACTAGCTGGCTTTAATATGTATGGTGTGGAACCAGGAAATCACACAATGTTGCATTAAACACTAGCCATTCATCTTTTTTTTAACCTACCTCAAACCCAAAAATGAGAGCATTTGGTTTTTCTTGAAAAGATAAAAGTCGCAGTTTGCATCAGGTGCCACATTTCTATCCAATTACTCACCATCAGCTTTCCCTCCCACCCCCCTGCTTACTTCTCAGGGTCGCCTTGAGAACCAAGCCCAAGATTCCTTCATTCTACCCAGGGAAGGGCTCATGGACTGCGGGTTTCTTGATGCTGTATGCATATCTACGAACATGGCATTCCACATGCGTGTAGCGTTGGTACGAGTATGGACCCAAATATGACATGTCTCCTAAGTATCATGGCTACATAAATATTACGGATAACGGACGTGTACGCGCATACATTTGATGTCTTCGTTCTCTAAGCAAACAGAACCAACACTCCTGACTGTCCACCAGGAGGTGCCAAGGAGGCGAAAGTCCTGCGGTACCTCGGCGGTTGTGGAGGTGGCGATGGATGCAGCAGCGATGGAACCCGAGCTTCCCTTTTAAACAATCTGTATAAGTCAAGCAAGCAGATCCGCGTTATTTGGGAGGGAACCTGGTCGCAATACCTTTCCCGTGCGTAGTGCCCGAGCTCGCCGACCTCATGGAGAGACGCTGGAGGCGGCAGCTGGAGCTCCGTTGGCGGCTGCAGCCGGCAGTAACCCGACCCCGCCGGCGCGGGGACTGAAGAGGCGCCGGGGAGAGCGGCAATCTGTGAACAAAAGCCCCTGGCGCGGGGCTGGAGCCTGGGGACGTGAGTAAGTGAACCCGCGCTGGGAGCTGGAGCTGCGGGTACGGGCGCTCAAGGAGCCCATCCCGCCGGGATGCGCTGGGGAAACTGGTGGGCATTTAGAGGGGACTGACTGGGCGGAGGGGCCCTTGAGTGCCTTCCGACTAGGAGGCGATCGGGTGCGTCTAGGAGGCTGTGGCCGCCCTCTCCATTCCTCGCGTGCAGCCGCTGGGGGTTGGGGTGACAGAGGCAGGCAGAGCTCCTAGCAAGCCTTGCCTAAGAAGCGGCAGCAAGAATCCGCCAGCCCTCCCGGAAGGTCCTTTGGGGATTTCTCTCAGCCCTGCCAGCACCCATGGGTGGGTGGGCCCCGCGCATGAATCTCCTTGGGCAATGAGAAACCAACCCTCACCTTTTCCCCTTAGGCAAACGGGATCCTTGTGGCCATGCACTTTGGGATGAACAGGTCTCTTTGTTGTTCTTGCAAAGCGGCAGCCCGCCTAAGCTACCAATACACTAATCCTCCCGGGAATCCTCCAGCGCCTCCCTCCCCGGTGGCCGCCTGTACCGCAATCTTTCCATTTTAACCTGCAGCAGGAAGGGGCGCGCGTCCAGCGGGCAAGACGCCAACGACCAGCAGTGGCGGCAGGGGGCAGGTGGCCTCCCCGCAGGCCTCCACCCGGCACGCTGGGGCTGCGCTCTGAGCACCCGCGGCCCCCATCCCCGGCTCCCCGGCCAGTGTTTTCCAGGGCATCGGGTTTGGGATTTCCGTTCCACCAGGCCTCTGAGCCTAATCCTAAAGAGGATTAAGCGGGGAGAGATGGCTATGAATGCGGAGGGGGCGACAGCTCTCAGATGCGTTCCCCTATGTCCCTCTCTGTCCCCCGCAGAGACTCCAATCACGGACGCGGCTCAACCATGGTGGACCCGGTGCCTGAGGAGGAGAAGGAAGGCGCCGAGCCCAGCGACGGCTCGGGAGGGGATGCGGCCGCGGCGTCAGTGCCCCCGGAAGCCCAGGGCGCCCAGCAGCCCGTGGCCTCCTCAGCGTCTGCCTCGGCTGCGGCTGCAGCAGGACCCGGCAAAGCCGAAGTCCCGTGCGCGGCCGAAGGTGGGCGGCGGGAGCAGTCCCCGCTGCTACATCTTGACCTCTTCAACTTCGACTGTCCCGAAGCCGAGGGCAGCCGCTATGTGCTGACCAGCCCTCGCTCGCTGGAGGCCTGCGCCCGCTGCGCCGTCAAACCCGTGGAGCTGCTGCCACGGGCCCTGGCCGACCTGGTACGCGAGGCCCCTGGCCGCTCCATGCGGGTGGCCACCGGCCTGTACGAGGCGTACGAGGCAGAGCGACGCGCCAAGCTGCAGCAGTGCCGGGCCGAGCGCGAGCGCATCGTGCGCGAGGAGAAGCGGCGCCTCTTCACGCCGTTGGGCCCCGCGGCCGTCGCGGCATCGGCCCCGAGTGCGGGCAGCAGCAGTAGCTGCAGCAGCGCTAGCCTGCCGGCCTCGCCAGCCCCGCGCGCGCCCCGCAAGGCCTCCTCTAGTCCCTCCCCGGCCCGGACCCAACCTCCGCCCGCGGGCTCTCGGACAGGTAGGAAGAGCCACTCGCTGGACTCTCTTTCCCGTCGGCGGGAGGGCGCGCTCAGCTCCGAATCCGGCGCGTCCTCCTCGTCCTACAGCGGGGAGAGCCTGCGGGAGCTGCGCTGGCCGCCGCGGGCCTCGGCAAGGAACAGCTATCCGGCGGGGTCGGCGGCCTCCGCCCCTAACCCTCTGGGCCGCCCTTCCGCCCTGACCTTGGTTCCCATCACCGGCCGCAGCTTCAGCCTTGGTGACCTGAGCCACTCGCCGCAGACGGCGCAGCACGTGGAGCGCATCGTGCGTCAAGTGCGCGCCGAGCGCGGCCTGCGCGGGGTGCCCGAACGCGACCGGAAGATAGCGGCTCTGATGCTGGCTCGCCATCAGGAGGAGCGCCTGCTGCTGGAACAGCGCGCCGCGGCCCATGGGCAGTGGGAGCAGCAGCGCGTGCGAGCCGAGCAGCGACGGGAGCGCGAGGAACGCGAGAAGCAGCGTGCGCTGGAGCAGGGCCGCCGTGCGTGGGCCGCGCAGGTGGAGGAGCGCCGAGGCCGTCGGGGCCGCGAGGAGCGCGAGGCGGCACAGCAGCGGCAGCGGCAGTACGAGCGCAGCGAGGAGCGGCGCCGGGAGCTGGCTGAACGGCAGGGTCTGCTGCGGCGCGAGCGGGTGGAGCGCGCGGCGCGGGAGGACCGGCTGCGCAAGCTGCAACAGGAACAGAATCTGAAGCAGCGCGAGGAGGGCCTGCAGGAAGGGCGCCAGCGGGCCGAGCAGGTGCGCAGGGAACGTGCCCAGCGCGCGGCCCGCGCCAAGCAGACGCAGGAAGGCCAGCTGCGCCGGGAGAAGCGGGAGCTGAGCCGGGCCGAGCGGGCGCGCCACGAGGCGCTGCTGCAGGGCCGGGCCCGGCAGCAGCGAGAGGAACGAGAGGGCCTGAGGAGCTCCTTGGAGGCCAGCTTGGGCCGCGCGCAGGAGAACTACGAGCAGGTGGTGGAGCAGCGCACCCGGGAGCTGCGGGAGCGGGCCCGGCGGGAGGAACTGCAGGGGAGGCGGGCCAAGGAGGCAGCCGAACGCCAAGAGCGGCAGCACCAGGCGCACTTGGAGGCACTGGCCCGGGCCGGGGAGCGAAGGTTGCAGCACGCGACGCAGGTGGCCGAGGAGGCGGTGCAACAGAAGGCGCGGCGCGCTGTCCAGACTCGGCTGGAGAAAGAACGGACCCAGCGTGCCAACAAGGAGAAGGTGGAGAAGGACGAAGACTGCCGCCGGCGGGAACTGATTCAGGCCATCGGGCGCAAGCTGGAGCGCAGCGAGCAGCTGTCGAGGGAGCGGCGCAGCGCGCTGGAGAGCGCCCGCTCCACGGCCCGGGCCTCCTTCCACGTGCGGGAAAAGGTTCGCGAGGAGACCAACACGCGTTCCTTCGACCGCATGGTGCGGGAAGCCCAACTCCACGCCAGCTTGGATCGCAAGTGACCGCTGCCCTGCGCCGATCCAAGTGGCACGCTACTGAGGCAGTGTGAGAGGGTGGACTGGACGTGTGGGAGCTACCTGTCAGGCCTCCCTTTGTTTTTAAACACTCACTTACTTTGGAGATGACGCGGCACAATCTTTCCTTGCACCTGACCCTGATGGCTTGCACACCAGCCTTTGCCAAACTCCTCTACGTGTCTTGAGGGTTGGAATAGACAGGGATTTGGGGGTGGGGTGGAGAGATTGAAGGTGATTGTCCCGCACCCCCTGTAACAGTCCTGTTTTCCCTTTGGGACATTGGTGTCTGGGAAGACACTTGGGTTGCTGCACTGCTCACCTCCGTGGCTCTGACAAGGCGAGTTGCACAAAGGCTAGTGGCCTCCAAGAGAAGCACAGCTCCTTGAAGGTGTCCGGGTGCCCCCAAGGGACCCCAACCGTTATACTGATTTGTGTCTGCTTGACTTTTCGTTGGTCACCTGAGCAAATTTTCAACCGAGTCCCCTAGGTTTTCTGGTTAGACAATCATCCCAAGATGATTTGTGTCTTTTTGTTTCCACTTTCCTGATTCTCCCAGAGGGCACAGGAATCTGGTTGGTTTGATGATGTTGTTTAGCTTTAATGGAAATCCCAGCCCCACCCCCACTCCAGTGGAGAAGCTGTGGTCCTTAGGCAGCCGTGCTGCACTCTCTCGGACATCCTTGCAGGATGGGTTCCAGGGAGTGGGCATCTCCTGTCCACCTCCCAGTCAGGGCCCAGGGCTTCACAGACAGTAGCCATGCCTTAAAAAGCGGAGCCACCTTAAATTTCTGGTCCCAAATGCAGACTCAAGGGTGGGCCCCAGGCATTTTGGGGTGCAGGGTTCCCTCTGTGAAGCACAACAAGGGTCTCTTTGGCTGTGGCTGCAGATGGTGTTGAAACTGCCCTTGGCTGAGGGTCGTACTTACTGTGGTTGCTGATGTATCCATCCCTCTTCCCTTCTGTCCCCTGTAACCAAAAGGTATTTCCTCCATCTCTCTCATCTCTCTGTCTCTCGGTGCCTCGCCTTTCCCACCCTCCAGATTAGGTGGTCAAGATTTCTCTCTTGGGACCTCGGGGTCTGCTGGACCCAAGGCCCACTGCAGGGTTCTGTGAGACTCTTCTCTGTGCCTTTCCTTGACCTGGAGCTGGGAAGCAGGTGGGCCGATGTCCGCCTGGTTTGTTTCTGGGAACTTGGATTTCCTGGCCTTGCATTGTGGACACAGATGGTTATTTAGCCTTTGGGGAAAACACTTGCAACAGCAGATCCCAAAGGCTGTGTTCCGTTGTCACCAAGGTGATCTTACCCCACCTTCCCTCTTGAAGTGCTTCCCTTCCACGAAGCCAAAAGTGGCCCCTAGCCTTATCCACCCCTTAACTCTACCTTCATCAGAAAAGGTCAAAAATGAAACATTTTTTTTTTTACAGTAAAGTAAGATCAGGAAATTTTTTTAAAGTACCAAAAGGGGAAAAAAAAAGGCAATCAGGGTAAAAAAAATTTTTTTAACCTACATTAGACATATTTCCTGTGGATTTTGCTAGGCAGAGTTCTCCCTAAAATGCTTGCACACACACACACCACTTTGTCAGCCCCCTGTCCCCACCTCACCCCCTCGTATGCCGACAAGTATAGGAAGTGTTGTGTAGAAGGAAGTAGTGCTTAGCTGGTGCACTGAAAACGTTGTGAAGCTAGGAAAGGAGCTGTGTCCTAAGGAAGGTTACTTAGTGAATGGTGTACAGTGTTTTCTTGTTGGTAACCAGGTTGTCAGTGAGCTGTAATGGTGTTGTTCGTGAGTCAGGAGCATTTAACTAAAAGGTCCGTGTGATGCTGGTTTTTACCCTGTGGTTCCTGAGTTTGCTTACCTGGCTTTTGAAAAGTCACAGAATGTACCACCACGATGAGATCATTAACTTCCAAATCATGTGATCATTAACTTCCAAATCATGTGTGCTCATATGAGGAAGCAATCTGGTCTTTGGGATGAAGCTCCAAAAGGTATACAGGTGAGCTTCCCTGGCCCTTTTTACTCTGTTTTCTGATTCACTGGGTCCTTCTGGCTCGATTATCTCTCCAGGTTTCCTTGGTTTCCCTACCTCTCCAGTGGGGATCGTGTCTGCTGCCCAGAACCCAAGTGTCCCTCCTTGTTCTGTGGCTGTGGACCTGCGGGGACAATCACTACAAACACGAAGGGTCACATGACTGTACCGGAGCCTGATTGAGTAATACAGGCGAAACAACTGATGCAGAAAGAAGTGATCTTGAAAAGCACCTTGCAGATCACAATGCCATGTGTGATGGAAGGCCCAGGCCTGGGTGTCACCAGCTTAGAAGTGAGCACTTGGACAGAAGCAACATGCAAAGACTTTGGATTCTTAAAAGAAATTCCACAGAGTCAAGTAGAAGTAAAAGAAAAAGAAAGGCCAAATCTACTCACCAGTAAAGAATGGTTCCCTCCTATTCTGGATCATCTGCTCTCTATTCTAGCAGAAATGATCATGTTTTTTAAAGAGGAGCTGTTTCCAGAATCTTCTTGGGGTCCCCTGTGGTGGTTTCTTATTCCTCAGTGCAGCCAGAGAACATTTTGTGGGGCACAGGAAAGGTGAGAGGTTAAGGTTACTAATGCATATTCCAATGGGCCACATTGTCCCTGAGTGGCATTCCAGTGCTGTCAATTGGCCTAAGAGTACCAAGCTGGAAGTTTCCTTACTGCCCAGGAGATTGTAGCCTTGAAATGACTACAGACCTTCACATTTCCCTCTTGGAACATCTCCTTGTTCAATAAGCAAAGACTGTGCAGTGGAGTGACACGGAAGGAGATGGGTTGGAAGAAGCTTTAGTTCGCTGGTTATCAAGGAAGCAAGCAAGATCAAACCATTTCAGATGAAATCTTCGGTGAAGCTAGTTCAGTGTCCTTTTAAGGCAATGACCAATGCCTACACAGCATCTGGACACTAAGGCAGAAGTTTCTTCTTGGAAACACAGACTGGGACTCTTCAATGGGGGCAGTAGCTGGGATTTGTTGAAGAAAGTATCTGTGAGATGCTGAAGCTAGACAAGTGTCTTAGTCCATTTTACGTTGCTCCAACCAAATACTGAAGGCTGGGTAATTTGTAAAGAAGTTTGTTTAGCTTGCTGTTCTCAAGATGCAAGAACATGCACTGACATCTGTTTGGTTCTGTGAGTGCCTCACCGCTTATGGCATCACATGGTAGAGACTACACAGAAGTGAAAATGGGAGGCAGGAAGTAAGAGAGTGGGGAGGGGCCAGTCTTAACTCTTTTGTATCAATTGCCTTCTTGGGAACTGAGCTGCTCCTTCATGGTGCACTCCGCTGTACAAAACCTTCATCAGCCTTTTCACGAGAGTGGACTACCCAAAGACCTGAGGCCCCTGCACTGAGCTCCATCCTTTCACTGCCCCACCACCTCACTCCTGCCACTCTGGGAACCAGCACAGGATCCTTTGAAGAGCAGACAATACTCTCACCACAGTGATGAGAATGTAATTTGTGTTCAGTCTCTTGTGTAGAGGCCTCCATCCATCACTGCCTCTCTTGACACAGAAGGCTGGCTCTACAAGAGCAGCTGTTTCTTGCTTGGCGTTTAATCCCCACGCAGCCAATGGTCTAGCACTTCCCACGTGGGAAACAGAAATGCTGGATGGAGTGAGGGTAGAGGGAGGAATAAATAATGGGCATGTGATGGTTGACCAAAGTGAATCTGTATAAGACAAATCAGGTAGACAGTCCTCCGTCCAGTCAACAGATAATCACTGACGCCGGCTATGTTCCAAGCACTGCTCTTGCTGCTGGTAAAAACAAAAACCACTAAGTCTGTTTAATGATTGTCCCTTGGAATCGTTAAGTGTTGTGATGTTGTGAACAGATATTTTTGCTTCTCCCACCTGGCTTCCCTACCTTGCCACCCAGGTATCCCTCCACAGGCCGATCCAATGGTGGACCAAGCCTTTTCCATTCGCTGGAGACAAGCCGCACACCAGTCAACCATCATTAAGTTATTGTTTCTGTCTTTCCCTCAGAGATGATTTGATGAATCTGTTCAAATGTAGAATGTCATGCATCCAATCAACTCTAAATGGCAGTAAAAAGATTAATCACCTTCAAGGTCATTATGTGTCACACCCTTAAGAGAGGTGACATAGCCAGTGCTCATGGAGTCAAAGAATGGAGCCACTGACCATCGTAAAGGTTACAGACTCTATCCTTCAGTTATTGCTGAGTTAAGAAAGTCAGCATTTCCAAAATTTTTCTGTTTTGTTTTTTTTTAAAAAAAACTTTAATCTTATTTGAAAGGCATAGAGACAGATAACTATACACCAGAAATCCCTCAACTGCTGGTTTAGTCTTCAAATGCCCGCAACACTCAGGGCTGAGCCAGACCAAAACCAGGAGCCTGGAATTCAATCAGCATCTCCCACATGGGTGGCAGAGACCCAACTACTTGAACCTTCACCTGTTGCTTCCCAGGGAGCACATTAGTAGGAAGCTGGATCAGAAGTGGAGCCAGGACTCAAACCAGGCACCGGTACATGGGCCTCTTAACTGGTATGCACAGAATGCCCGCCCTCATTACTGAATGGACAAGAGTATACACAATATCCAAGTTCTCAAGACTCGTAATTGTAGTTTCTTGGTAGACTTGTCTTTTCTGCATTACATGACCACATCTCCACCTTGCATGTCCCAGAAGCATTTGACAGATGAGCACAAAGAAGCTTGGCATTGCTTGGCATGTCCTGGAAGGGGACTGTCAGAGGGTGGGCATTTGGCACAACTTAGACTCTGCTTGAGTCACCTGCTTCCCACACATGGGTGCCTGGTATGAGTCCTGGCTTTTCCACTTCTGATCCAGCTTCCTGCTAATGTGCACACCCTGGGATGCAGAAGGTAATGGTTCAAGTATTTGGGTCTCTGTCACCTACACAGGAGACCCAAATTGAGTTCCAGGCTCCTGACTTTGGCCTGGTC